TCAACCTACCAAAGGAAACACTGTCTCAGTAAGGTGAATTAAAATATGATTAAAATTAATTCAAACTATTACTAGAATTGCTTTGAAATTAGTGGTTAAAGTTTTATAGTGATATATTAGAAGCTTACCACTGTCAATCTTCAATGAATTCATTTTAATCATTATGCAAAGTATATATAATCAAGTGGATTTGAGACATTAAATTTCTGCCTTCTGGGTTACAATGTTATTTTTATCTCTTTTGTTCATTCATTGTTATCTTGGCACAACTTATGCACAAGTTAATTTAAATATTCTTCTTCAGGCAAAAATCCTGTTGTCCATTTGTCCTTTCCTTTGTCTTACAATAACACCAGCAGGTTGCACATTCCTCTTTCTGCAACTTAAGTCTTTGTTTTAGACCTGACATTTTTTTCCTTTGAGGTTGAGGTGAATACACTTAACCATATACCTCCATACAGAAAACTGAGAGGGGCCAGTAAATTAAAACTAGATCATCTCTTTCCTTTAGTAAGGATATACATAAGGGCAGTTTTACTTTTCTTAATTAATGATGAAATTGCTAACTTCTAAAAATCACTTTCAAGAAAGCTTAATTAATAACATAGTTCATATTTATTTTCTTATGTAATCCATTCATGAGGGTAAAGAAGAATTTTAATTACAAATTCCAAATAAAACCAACACAAACCTATATTATCAGTTAAGAAAAGAATATTTATATTTCCTATGGTTAAACCCTCATTAATTCAGTTAACAAATAGTCTCTTAAAAACTATTATATATTTAATAGGTTAATAGGTGTGGCTTCAAAAACGGTGGTGCTACAATCTATTGAGGAAAAAAGGTCATTATATATTATATTTAATTAATTGTTTTATTAATATAAAAATTAATCAAAGAATTTAATAATTTATACTTAGAAATTAAATTATTAAATTAAATAATTTTATATTAATAATATAATAATATGTATTTAAGACAGTACAATAGCCACTCTATCATAAAGGAATATACAATGCCACTCGAACCCTATTTAGAAAGACACCTGAGAGGGAAAAAAAAATAAGCCTCAGAACAGTTGAGAAAGAACAGAACATAATTTATATAATTTATGACTGAAAAGCAAGAACACCTTCATTGTTATGTTCATAAATGCACTTACACAAATAAATGGCATTTTTTAGTAACTCCATCTGGTTTATTAAAATTCAGTTAAAGGATAGCAAGGATGCCTTTTATTATGTAGGTAACAAACTAAAAATACATTCCATTGAAACACTGAAAAATAAAGATTGATTCAAAAAATTAAATGTTGGTAATAGATAACTATAGAGTAAACATATGAGTAAACAGAGACTTTATATTCTACATAAAAGTAAAATCCTAATGCAAATTTGGAGGATACTAAGGCAAGAGAGTACTATGTCACCTTCTTTGAAGCATTAATTTCCCTGCACATGACTCAGAAAGTGGTACCTCATCAAATATTAAGTGGAAATTGGATGCTAAGATTACATGGTATTCTATTATTTTATTATTTTATTCATCATTTTACCTTGCCTGTACTTTTTGTTTTTTCCTCCGAAAATAAAGATACATTAAAAGGTAGAGTATATACTAAGAATAAAAAAGTAGAATTATAAAATAAGTATATTTTACTAAGAATATTAAACCGTTTCCAAAGAGTAATGATTTTCTTTCAGGCAACTATTACTATTTTTTGCTTATAATATGCCTTTTTCAAAGACAGGAGAATTTTATTTATGACATTTATAAAATTAAAAAAGTGTGTGGTCATTTTAGTCACAAAATAGAGTCTCCACCCTATAATTAGTTTGTCGGGTTCTATATAATAGGTATAGCTTCATATTTCATGTCAAGTTCACACTAATTCCTTGCCATATTCCTCAGGCCTGTTATAGATAGGTTACTCATACATAAAGAAGAAATGTGATCTCTTTCGCTCTTGCTTACTTGCTTGCTTTCTTGCCTGCCTGTCTACCTGCCTTCCTCCCTCCCTTCCTCCCTCCCTCCCTCCCTTCCTCCCTCCCTCCCTCCCTCCCTCCCTTCCTTCCTTCCTTCCTTCCTTCCTTCCTTCCTTCCTTCCTTCTTTGCCCTCCTTCTCTCATTCTCTCTCTCTCTCCTTTCTTTCCCTTTCTTTATCTGCTTGCTTTCTTGCCTGCCTGTCTACCTGCCTGCCTCCCTCCCTCCCTTCCTTCCTTCCTTCCTTCCTTCCTTCCTTCCTTCCTTCCTTCCTTCCTTCTTCGCCCTCCTTCTCTCATTCTCTCTCTCTCTCTCCTTTCTTTCCCTTTCTTTATCTGCTTGCTCATCATTGGCTTTTGGCCTGCTTTGTTTAGAGCAGGTGGAAGCAAATGAAGGTTCAAAGATTTTAAGGAGGAAATAAGGCAGCTGCACGAATTTACTGATATGTAATGGTAATTGGAAAGGTTTATAGAAGTACTAAGGTACAGGTGATGTGTTCGACCATCTAATCTGCAGATCTTTCAAAAAGGAAATCCTAAAATTATGAGTCTTGAACTCATTACTTCTACTGACTAAAAAAAAGGTAAGACTCTTAGGGATTATAGGAAGGATTTTTTTGAGAGAGCTTAGAGAAAGTTGCATAATACACAATACCAGACTCAAAAAGGGGATGCTGGCCTTCCCCTAAGTCAAGAGAGATGGGCTTCAGCGAGACTACCCAGAAATGTGAGCCTATACCCCCTGAGATTAGAGAACGCAGTGGACAAAGGCTAAACGTTTGCCTGGAAAACCCGCAGGAGAAATGGTGAAAGTAAGTTGCAGCTGTTTGAAGACCAGACAAATTGAATGTTTGTTAATTAATGTAATTGTAGGACCTTTTTAAAATTTGTTTTCTTTTATATTTATTTTTGAGAGAGCACAAGCTGGGGAGGGGCAGAAAGGGAGGAGAACAGAGGATCTGAAGCAGTCTCTGAGCTGACAGAACGGATCTCCATGTGGGACTGGATGGAACTCACAAACCGTGAGATCATGACTTGAGCCAAAGTCGGAGGCTCAACCCACTGATCCACCCAGGCACCCCTGACTGTAGGACTTTTGATTACCTAAAAGTACCACCATAATTATGAAGAATCCTGAAATGTTTATTCGTCATTGACTAGGAAAATTGTGAAGGGGCTGTGAAAGCAAAAATACAGTTGCTTATGGTTTCCATTTTTTCAGTTCTGCTTCAATGCTCCTGGTTATGCTCAACTAGCCTTTGCACAATTCCTTTGTTGGTTCAAGAACAAACAGAAGTGAAAACCATTTGTGCATCCTTTTCACATCTTACCCTCTATGACATTTTGTGGTCTAGCCAAGCTCAGTAATTTTTAAATTTTTTAAAAACAATTTTAAGTTTATTTTTATTTATTTTGAGGGAGAGAGAGAGAGAGAGAGCGTGAGCAGGAGAGGAGGAGAGAGAGAGGGAGAGAGAGAGAATCTCAAGTAGACTCCACGCTGCCAGCACAGGGCCCAGTGCAGGGCTGGAACCCACGAACCATTAGATCATGACCTAAGTGAAAATCAAGAGGCTGACACTTCACCAACTAAGCCACCAAGGAGCCCCTCATTATTTTTTTTTAAAAATATTATTATTTATGTTCCGTTATGTTTGGTTTAAAGGTCAGTTCTCAATATCATAGGTTCTCAATTGTTACTTGCATATTTTAACAGATAATTTCTTTTAAAATGTGAGAATATATTAATAGGAATCTATTAATATTTTTATGTATTAATTACTTCATCAACATGTAAATCATTTTCTAACTAACTCAAAGTTTAACTGACTTTATCCTTGAATAGTGCTTAATATTACTTACTTGAAAATACACTGGAGATTTACTAGAAAACTAACATAAATAAATAGTATTCCAGATTGGTCATTATAAACTCCACCAGGTACATTTAGCAGAGCAAAGCCCAAATGAATACATGGCCACTTATCAGGAACTGGAGAAGAAGGTACAATGTATATATAATATGGAAGAATTCATTCTGATACCATCATGAAGCTTGTATATACCAAGGCATTGCTTTCATTTCTTCTACTATCTTCCTTTTGCTTCCTGTACAAGAATTTATCCCAATTCCAGTAGCAGCTAATTTGATTGGAATGAGCATCTGATGATCTTCCAGCTGTTCTGGAGATGTGAAATGGGCCTTGCTACTCTTAGGGGATGGAACTGCCAGGCAATTCTGTTCACTACCACTAAATAATAGCCATCTAATATAAACCCATCTGGTGGTAAAACCATCTATCTCACCTCCTCAGGATTTACTCAATCTCTTCATTTTATCTGTAAAACACTACTTATAAACATTTGTGTTGTGGTACTTTTTGATTACTTAGTCACTAGCTAAAATCTCTTTCTCTCTCTGAATCTGACACTATTATTTATCTACAATCCTTTTATTTTCCTTATTGCTGCCTGCTATCTCCCCTTCTTTAGGTTTGTTTCTGTTTTCATTATTATTGTGCCTTCTGGTCACACCACTGAGAAGTAAATTTTAACATTTCTTGGAATAAACCTCAACCCTATCCATATACTGCTCTGTAAAGTCAGCAAACATTCATTCTTTATTTATGGTTTCATTCTTTAAGTTCATTTGTATATGAAATTTAGAATATTGACTATTTCATCCTTTAAAAAAAAACCTGTACAGTTCAAGCTGTTTTCATTACTTTTAGAACTAGTCCCACTTAACTTCTAGCATCCTGGGTCTAAAATAGACTTCAGAAAGGGTTTTGTTTGTTTTTCATATAGTTCTATAACATGATTGTTGACTATAAAATCATTCTGATTGAAAGTCAGCTGACCTTTGAAATTAGTAACCATCTATTTAAAAAGCTATACTCTTATGAAATGCAAGTAACTTCATTTTTGGTGAAAAATATTTTAGAATTGTGACTTAATTTGAAATAATAGTTCTTTTCAACTTAATTGTCCTAAATTTCTTAGAAGTATTATATCTGTAAGACTATACTTTCAAAGATCGTATCTATATTCTGTTACTAGAGAAGATTTTCTAAAAATGTAGAGTACCCGAAACCACAAGGAGGAGGTGCAGTGTTCTCTCCTGAGCATGAAGCTGACTTTGGGTGTTTTTTCTGTGACAGACAATTGCCATTGATGATCATTCTTCTTCTCCTTTGGAGGAGAAAGAGGAAGAGGACCAGGTCTGAGTGATGAGAAAGAAAAAGAAAAAAATTGTATCTGTATCTATCTCTAAAAAATACAAAATTATACCTATTATTTTTTCCTATGTTCTATTCTTACCTACTTCTTTTTTGTACAAGATCCTCAGAACAAATCAATCACAGAAAGGATGACACAAGAATTACCTCACTATTCAAATTTGATATGTTAATCTATGTCTTCAAAAGATAAAAACTAAGGCATTGTTAACTATTTTGAAAAAAAACCTTAGCTAATATTACCTTAGCATTTAAATCAAATTTAGTTATCATGTATATTTTATTATATATATATTTATTACTTTAAAAATATAGACATTATTATAGGGATAAAGGAGTTTATTCATGAATGGGAAATAATAATAGTCTATGGTGTTGTCCACTAAAATTCTAAGTTGTGTGTGTGTGTGTGTGTGTGTGTATGTGGCATAAAGATAAAGTTGTTTAAATCAGGTCTGGAAATTGAGATGGTAGGGTACAGGAAGGCAATGAATAGTTTTGTTTTATACATCTTTGTTATGCTTTAGTTCACTTCTTAGTATGTGCACATTTTACAGTATTATGCTGAAAAACAATTTTTATGATGCAAAGGTATTATTAAAAATTCATGAATAATTGAATATTCAGACTTTTGGATATTTTAATAAAATAGTTATTATTTTTATTCTAATGATATGAAATGTTATATAAAAACTTCATTTTAGCCCATTTTTATAGCCTGGTTTAATTTATAGTTCTTAATATGAAAATTAAACTGATAAGACAATTAATGAGCCATAGAACTCAATTTAATGTTTTCATATTTAGAATTATGACAAAATTATAATTTTCCTTATTTATGTACATCAACCAATGCATTAAATTCTCAACATCTGCCAGTAAACATGTGCTTTGCAATCATACTAACTAATTGTTTTTGTGAGGGTACTCAGGAACAAATATTTCCACTAAAAGAGAAAAAGGTGCTCAAATATTCAAATCAATCCCAGTGAAATGAATCATAAAAACTTTCTGCTCATGCTAAATTTACCATTAAATCCTAAATCAGAGTGTATAGCTGTTATTTTTGACATCTCTCTAACATTTTTCAAGCTAACTTCCCTTTTCTTATTTTATTATAAGAATTGTTTGAATCTGCTGCACAGATTTTGATAGTTTCTCCAGAATATGATTGAAGGCAAGGAACATGACAGGTGAAATCACCCTGAATAACACCTAGCAAAGACGGGTACTTGAATAAATTAAACATAACTTACCGTCGATTTTCACAGATACATTTTCTAAAGGAAAGCATAACAATGTAAAGACATGTTGGACATTTGCCATATTTAGAAATGTTTACCTAAGATGTTCTTTTTACCATCATACTGTAGCAGAAACTATGAAAAAAAAAAAAAAGAAGACAGATTTGTTTAGCTCTGAAGATAAAAATTGAAGGACCACTACTGTCCTTAAAAAAATGCCTATGTCTAGAAAATAAACAAAAAAGGGGCGCCTTGGTGGCTCAGTCGGGGAAGCGTCGGACTTCGGCTCAAGTCATGATCTCAGGGCTTGTGGGTTCCAGTCCCGCGTTGGGCTCTGTGCTGACCTCTAGCTCAGATCCTGGAGCCTGTTTCAGACTCTGTATCTCCCTCTCTCTCTCATCCTCCCCTGCTCACACTATCTCTATCTGACTCTCAGAAATAAAAATAAAAAAAAAATTTAAACATTAAAAAAAAACATTTATAAAAAGAAAACAAGAAGGATATTACTTATTCATTCCTTGAATGGAGAATTTCAACACAAATTTAATTATCATACAGAAAAAAAGCTAAAATTTTGCTCATTTTCACTATTTGACAAAATTGTTACCATAGAACTTTTGTGAACATAGAACGTCTCTCCAGATGATGAGTGAACAAGACAGTGTTTCTTTTTTAGTAGAGACTAGTGTAGGTTGCAGCCGTTTCTAAATTCCAGCAAGTCATATGGGTTATTGATATAGGGAAACCTTAATTTGACTGTTTTAGGATTGTGTATTGTTTGTTCCCTTTATCATGTGCCACTTTTCTGGTGATTCCTCTGAAATGCTGCAGAATAAAGCTGTTTCTTACAGACCAAATAACCAGTGTGGCCTGGTCTTGTCCCATTGCACAACAGTTGGCATAAAAACAAACTGCTTTTGAGATGAATCAAGAATTTTGGAGAAATTAAATGATAACATTTTAGCAAGTACTATCAATGTTAACATCATCATCATTGTTGTTTACTGAAAATTATGTGACTTCTATTTCAAAGGTCTAAAAAATCAACTTTTACATGCATAAACCAAAACCTAAATTCCTTTAGCAATATACTTAACCATGAATAAATTTATGTACTTATTACAGCATTATATTTGAATAATGAGCATCTCTTTATCTGAGTCAAATGGGGAAGGATTAAACAATAGTTACTTTAGTGCTTAAGCTTTATGTTCAAGAATAGTAAGGTAGGGGCTCCTGGGTGGCTCAGTCAGTTAAGGGTCCAACTTCGGCTCAGGTCATGATCTCCCTGTTAGTGGGTTTGAGTCCCATGCCGGGCTCTGTGCTGGCAGCTAGCTCAGAGCCTGGGGCCTGTTTCAGATTCTGTGTCTCCCTCTCTCTCTGTCCGTCCCCTGCTCCCGCTGTCTCTCTCTCAGAAATAAATAAAACATTTAAAAAAAAGAATAGTAGAATAAATAGTACATAGCTAAAATGACCACTGGTCAGGTTCAGATGAGAACAAAATCCTTCAGCAATACAAATGACTGCTAATTAATTTTCTGTACTCCAAAATTTGTTTAGAAGTAAATTACTATATCTAGAAAACTGGTTTTTCCGTTAGTAGTATGTATTGAGAAATTAGTGATGTATTACAATATAAAATAAATTGGTTCAATGACATAATTTAATCACTGCCTTTAAAGGTTGGACAGGTGATTCAGGACATCTGTGATTTCAAATCAGCTCTGCTACCGAATACATGAAAAACTATGGTTTATTTCCTTGAAACTGTTTTCCAATTTCTGAATATTAGCATTTAGACAAGATGATCTGTAAGGTCTTCATCTCCTCCCCTTAATTCTATAATATTCTCTAAACTAAAACTGTGGTCTCTGGCATCTTGGGAGATTGCCATGAACATACACTATAGTAATTTTCCAATGTATCAGATTCTTGTGTAATTCCTCTCTTTGAGTGCATTTGGAATCTATGGCCTATTTTTAGCCAATAGAAAATGGCAAAGATGTTAGGATATCACTTCTGTGATTAGAGTACATTGTATAAGACTACATCTTAGCCTACTGGAGTGTGAGGTTTTCCTGTTGGCCTTGAAGAAGCAAAATGTTAGATTGTGAGAGAGGGTCATGTGGCAGGAAATGTTAGGTGCTCTCTATGACCTGAGGATGGCCTTTATCCAACAGTTAATAAAAAGCTGGGTCCTCAGTCACATAATGCCAAAAAAAATGCATTCTACTAACAACCTCAATGAGTTTAGAAGGGAATTCTTCACTAATCAAGCTTTTAGATGAGAACATAGCCCTGTTGACATCTTAATTACAACCTTGTTGAGACCCTGACCAGAGGATCCTGCCAAACCATGCCCAGAACTCTGACCTAAGATAAAGACCTCTAAACTAATATAATGTGTGTTGCTTTGTTACCACAGCAATAGAAAATGAATATAGGAAAACAATTGCAGATTTTGTGTCTCCTTGGAAATTTTGCCTATTGGAACAACAAAAAAAAAACCCCAAAACACATAGAAACAAGTAAATAAAACTCACCTGAGTGTGTGGAAGTTGTTTTTTTGGCTTATTTCAAAGTGGTGTTTTTGTACTTTATTTCTCTCTCTCCCTCCCCCTCTTTCTCTTCTAATAATTCACTACAGAGGCAATTAAAAAGGAGGAATGGGGAAACATAACTCCCCTGGCAGGTATTAGGTAAAGCTTTCTAGTGTCATAGGCATAATCTGTGGTATAGGATTATTTTTTACTTTTTGCTTGGTTTTGTGAAATTAAGAATGATAGAAATACATTACCTTCTTTTCCACTCTCTAACCCCCTCTAAGTATTGGAGTCATGACACTGACATTGTAACTGTTACTTTCTAATAATTCCTTCCAAGTGGTCAAAAATACTTATTAAGAAAATCCCCAGTAAGTTAGAGTAATTATATGGAAAAGTCAATGTCATTTACTAACAAGCATGTTCAAAATTATTCACTTTTATTTTTATTTTCCTTTATGTGCAGTATCTCTAGCAAGATCCTAAGCTCAGAGATCAGAGCTAGAAGAGACTCCAGAGAGCACCATGAAAACCATGCAATTTTACAGGTGAGGAAAGGTTTTCCTTGAATGTTGAAATACTTCTCCTCAAGATTAGTGAAATATAATGTCACATAATTAGGACACGAACACAAGACTTAACATTAACAAAATGTGTTTGAGCACTAATATAGTCACAGAAGATTTGGCAATTATTTTTGAATTTTAAATAACATTGAAAAGGGTAAAATAAAATAACAATCATTTATATTACTTTCACCTAAAATTAAACATTGTTAACACTTTGATGTTTTGCTGCCATTTTTACAGAATAAATACTATATCACATTGCACAAATATGAACTATCAAATAGATAGAAGCATAAAACAGATATCACAAAATATGTCAAATGAAAAATGCCATCTAATGCCATTTAAAAAAATTGATTTGTTTATATGGCTTTGAAGTGGCATTCAGCCATGTGGGTGAATGGGATCCAAACATAGGGCTATTAAAGACCATTTTTATTCTATAATTCCTTAGGAAGTTCATTTGCAAATTTAAATGAGTATAGCCCTCTTTAAAGAAGTGGCCTTTGAAAAAGTTGAGGTAGTAATGAGCCGTCTCCTTGGAAAGAGCATTGTAAAAAGTAGGAAAATTTGTTCAAAGGGTCTGAGATGAAACAATAACTCATGTATTTTAAAATCACCAAAGAAGCCACTATGA